AGCGGAACTAGGATAAGAAAAATGAGTTCTACCATTACTATTAAAAGGAACTAGACCAGTGTAAGAATCTTCATAGTGAGAAGTTCCATTACCAAAAGAGGGTTGTATTGCTTCAGTATAAGCAGAGTTATACCAATGATAACATTGTCCTGCTGAGTGGCCTCCCTTATTACATAATTGACAAATCAGTCTTCCTCCTCTAGTATTCCTACCCCTTCCTCGACCATAGGTCATTCCAAATACAAGAGGTCTGTTGTGAGGAACAGGTTGGTTGTATGATTGAGAAGGTATGATAGGAGGTTGAGGATAGTGTGGGTTACCTAAAGATATCAGAGAGGGTGTAGTATTATAGGTAGAACCAAAAGTTTTGGCAGACTGTTGTTTATTCACTAACTCAGCTTGGAGAGGCAAATTTGCGCTATTATTTGAGTTACCAGTAGAGGCTATATTAGCAGAACAATTGTAGAGATCAATCGAGTTGAATTTTTCAAGACAAATCTCATACTTTTGAAGCAAAAACTGTGCTTCTTGTAGTGACACAGAGTCAAATTTTGACTAAATTCTGGAGGTCAAATTCACTACAACAGGATCAAACTCTGGTCCAAGACCATCAATTACATACTGTAATAAGTCCTCATCAGCTATAACAAGTCCACTTGCGGACAAACTTTCAGCAATCTCTCGCATTTTCTTAACATAGTCACCTATACTTAGATTGCCTTTTTGTGTTGTTTGGAGCAAATTCTTAAGGTGCAGAGCTCTTGCTTTGGAGTTAGTAACGAATTCATTTTCTAGAGCTAACCAAATTTCAGTAGAACTTCTACACTTTGAAACATTACCAAACATGCTCTTTGAAATTGACTCCAAGAGCCAACTAACCAAGAACTTGTCGGTTCTCTTCCACATTATATAAGCAGGATTTAGTTTCTCATCAACAGAGACATTACTAACTTTAACAGTATTCCCTATTTGACCTAAGTCATGTTCAATCTGAGAATCAGAAATTAATAGAGGGGAAGGACAAGGAACTCTACCGAGAAGGTGATCTTCAAGCTCGTGTGAGCCAACGGTAGATAAGACTTGAGAACTCCAAAAGCGATAGTTATTTTGCGTGAGCTTTGGACTGATTACCTGCAAACTTAGTACTGGAGTTGATGTAGTTTGATTAGTTGATTGCTTCAACATTTCGTTAGAATTGTTGAGTGAATGAGAGGTGTTTGCCATTGACACAAGTCAAGGGCTCTGATACCATGAAAGGAAACACAAAAAAAAAAACAGAGCAGAAAGTGTAGAGTATCGAAGAGGAAGAAAAGTGTGAATGTACTGTTTTCGTTATTAAAGAGTAAAGTTGAGAGTACAGCTTTATATTAAGCTGATGCACAAACTGATTTCACGGTAATCAGTTTTACAAGAAATGGCAGCGTATCAGGCAATGCAAATGTCTATTTTTGTCTTTTCACTTTTATAGTCAACAATCTAATCATTACATCATTTTGGTATAAACCATACACCAAAAGCTACACCAAATTGGGATGAATGAGTAATATCATACCAAATTTGGTGCAACACTATTTATCTACACCAATTTGGGGTGGCATTATTAATCTGCCATAAAACATATTTTATTTCCTTATTTTTGTTATTTAATTTTTTTTTAATTTGTGTTTACGTTAATTTGATTATTATTTATAATAATAAATTCATAATAATTATATAATTAAAAAAATGATGAAAAATTAAAAACAAAACTTCATTCAATGCAACTATTAAACTATAATAACTTAAAATAAATTAACATTAATTTAAAATCACTAAAATTATAAGAAAATATAACATAAACTAAAATAATAATTTAATATTCTGGTAGATTAGTTTTGGATCTTCTAAGATCATCAAAATATTGAAAAAAATTAGAGTTATTTTGAGATCCTTGACGTTGTTCTTGAGCTCTTTTTTGCATAATTTTTTATTGCTCATTTTGAAAAAACTCATGCAGGCTCAGATCGGTTATGAAAGTCAAATCCTTGAATGCCAAAGCCAATTTTTTCATTTAGATTTCATAATTTTATGCCCTATCTGAGTTGCCCTGATTGAAAATTTTAGCAAGCTGTCGAATATGTTAATTCGAAAAATTAAATTATTATCAATATAAAATTTTACTTTTGTGTTGTTATTTTTTTAATTTTTGTGGCATTTTATATTAGATGTAATGTTTTTTTATATTAAATGTAATGTTTATTTGATTAAATAAATGCTTAATTTTATTAAATTAGTATAATTTTCAAAGTTATTATTATTTAATAAAAATATCATTCTCAATATTTAATTAATATATACAAAAATAATTAGTGAAATAAATTAATTGTTGATTATTAATAGCAAAAAAAAGAAAGATAATATTCTTTTTTATGTAATATTTGGTATAATGAGTTGGAGATGCAATAATGAAATAAACCAAAAGTCACACAAATTTGGTGTGACAAATTGGTCAAGGAATGCGGCAATGAAATTTGCTTATGGATTTTTTATATGCTGATTTTTATGGATAAAAGAATACAAATTGAAGATGGTGATCACCAGTAGAGCTCCTGTTACTGCAATAATCAACCATGGCCACCACCGCTTTTCTACAGTGAGAAAGGTCAAATTTTGCTGGGCAAAAGAAGAAAGCTATGAGGCCTATGCCCTTAGAGATGTAAGTCCTTTAATTGCAGCTTTCTTTAATTAGCTTTAAGAAGAAGAATCAATGTTTCTGTGTATTAATTTCACTAAACCAGATTGTACATTAGGGCATACTGTTAGGACTGCATATCTAACCCACAATGATAACCAGCTAGACGGAATGGAACATCTTCTTTATAAATTTAATTAACGCTCTTTGGAACCGATGCAAGACTCCGGGACCTAATAGATTCTTCCTGCCAACGTTTTCAACAGTGTCATCAATTTAGTTTACAGTTGCAGCCAAAGTTTGTGCCTTCTACTCCTAACGCCATCATCAAGTACATTCAAATTTAGACCACAAATCTAAATGAGGGTTTACTTGAAAACAATGTACCATAGATATGTCTTTTGAAATTTAATTTCGTCAAATAGCTTTGATCATTACTCAAAGATAATTAAGGGAATTGGGATTGATGAATCTTCTCCGGTACAATCAAATTAATAGTTTATAAGAACTGCAAAAAACAGTTTTAAGTCCATTGATCAAGGTTTTTGAGATATATTTAAAATAACTTGCATTACATACTAAAGAACATAAATTCATCTGCAAAGAATTATTTGGAATTTTTACATAAGATCACTTGTTTATATATATAGTTCTTTCTTTTTTTATGGAAAAAACGAAAATTTCCTTAATTTCAATCCACATATACTGGTCCTGAATCCTGATGCTCCAGAAAATATTTCATGTAGTGATGTAGAGTCTGGCATTCAAAATCTTTAGCTTTACGATTACCAAGAATTGGCAGCATGGGACAGTTATTCCCTGAAACTCATGCATCTTATGTTACCTGGAAAGAATTAGGTTCATATGCAGAGTAACAAGCACGTATTGACAGTACTTTTTCAAAATATATCTTACAGGTTAAAACTGATTAATCATGGCAACAAATATATGGTGAATAAAAATTCCAGAAATCATCAATTATCTGCATGCGCGTCATCTTGCTTGGATTACAGAAAAGATGCTAGATCATTACTACTGCTATATTTATCTTGCCTCCATCTCTGCCATTTTGTACCATCATTTGTGGAAATAAAAGCATAATTTTCTTCACCCCACAAATATGTAAATAAACATCAATGTTGTTCTAAAGAAAAGCGTGTCAAAGTACTCAAATCTATCAGCTTGTTAGTCAAGTTTTCTAGGTATTAATGTTCAACAGAAATTAGGTGACATTAAAAGGAATTTTGTTTTTGACAATAAATAACTCTGATAAACAACTTTCTTCATGGGAAGGAAGTACTTGATAAATGAAGTTTAGAACAATCCGATAAAAACTTTTAAAAATATGGTAATGCCTAAAGGCAGTGGTGGCCCAGATTGACAATGCCAGACCTTTGAATAATGAGTTTACCCCCAGCTCATGTTTGTTGAATAATTTTGGTGTTCTGTTTCTTTTAAAAACTTGAGCAAGCATTCTGAGATAGTCATTCTAATATTGAACTCTTATGTTAAAACTTATATACTCTAAACGGACATCTTTATATTTAATAACAGCTTTGCCAGATTAATGTGGAATCTGTCACAACATTGGTAACAATAACTTAACCTTAGTTTTTTTTACTCTGTTTATTAAATATATTCATTTCTCTAATTCGATCTTCATACTAATAACCAAACACCCCAAATTCAACTCAAATATTCAACTCTAATTCAGAATATTTAGCTTCAAAAGAGTGAAAAGGAACAAGAATTGGATCCATGCACAGTTATTCTAAACCATGAGTTGAAACAAGGCATCTTATGTTGTCTGGGAAAAAATAGATTCATATGCAGAGTAACTGAAGTGTGCTCTGTTTTCACTACATGCATGTAGAAACAGTGTTTCAAAAATATATGTAAGGGGTTAAAACTGATTAATCATGGCACCAAATATATGGCTCACAAAAATCCAAGAAATCATCAATTATATGCATAAGATTTAATTGAATTTCAGTCAATACTTGGCCCGAATCCTGGATTATGCAAAAATAATAATAGATATTTCAATGTAATGAAGCAGGGACCTACATTTCTAAATCAAGAGGATTATTCTAAACAGAAATCTTGCCTGAAACACGTGACCTAAATCAAGGCATCTTATGTTTGCTACATATATATATATATATATATATATATATATATATTTAGTATAATAGAGAGGAGTATTATTCGCAAAACCAAATATATGTGGCGAATAACATTTCCACTTCCACAAATCATCAATTATATGTATGCATGTCTGTGCTTGTATAACAACACTGATGCCTTGATAACTGTATCACTAGAATATTTATCTAGCCTCCATCTCAGAAATTGTTACATTATTAGTGGAACAATTTTCTGAGTTAATTTCAGATATTTCTGGCACTTTAGTAGTATCACTGATATAAAATGCTGGTTGTTTTGGCGCAGGCAGGAGTAAAGATTCATTCGTAAGCATGGAAACAACATCAGACATTGTGGGTCTATCTGTTGCTTGGTCTTGCACACACAAGAGACCTACATGAATGCATGTCAATACTTCATTTGGAGTTCTTGATGCATCCTCAATTCCTGGATCTATGAGCTCTAAGCCTTTTTCTTCATTCCACAGCAGCCATGCTTGGAAGATGTGATAAAGGATAGATTCCATATAATATCCCTCAAGAGTTTCAATAAATAGCCATTGACCTCTACAATAATGAAAATAAGATTTGACTGATTATACTTACATATCCTACGAGATTGAGTGGGCGTTCAGTATGATAACAAATATTGTTCTTCTTGCCACTTACAATTTCCAGTACCAAGATGCCATAGCTAAACACATCAGTTTTGATTGAGACAACACCATTCATGGCATACTCTGGAGACATATAGCCACTAAAAAATAAATGAAAATTCTTTTAGGGTTTGAAAATGAAAACGTTTTCATATGCAAATGGACAAAGCAACTGCATATAGATGTTTGATTGTAAATGTAACAAGTACTTACAATGTTCCAACAACTCTATTTTTGTTTGCTTCTTGTTCATTAAATCTAAAAATTTTAGCCATTCTAAAATCAAATATTGTTTTATTCATCTGTTTATTGAGTAAAATGTTCCCTGCTTTTAAGTCTCGGTGAATCATTCTTACTCTTGAATATTTGTAAATGTAAAGAAGTCCTTGAGCAATCCCTTCAATTATGTTGAAGCCTGTAAAATATTCATTTTTGTCAAACTTATGAGTTGTGTGTGTGCACAATAGTTATGTATGTACACTAGCTGCCAATCTTTTTATTTGGCTTGTTTCATCTGTTGTGTATGTGCACATTAGTTCTTAGTGCACAATATTTGTCAGACTTGTGTCTCGGCTTGTTTCGTTTTAAGTGTGTTCACAACGGTTTGTGCTTACACTCTCGCTTCAGATATCTTGCAACCCACATGAGTTGCATGTCTAATAAAGTGAAAAGGATATTGTTTATCTTTCTCTCTTGATATTTAGGACCTTTTACATGTGTCATGATATTCTTAAGTGGTCCTAGGGAATAAAGTTATCTTTCCCAATTTGTTTTGTGGTCCAAACCAAAAGAATGAATACTTTCCTTATTTGGACAAACATGGGTCAGCCCCTTGTTGGCTGATGTGGCACTATATTGTTGAGCAAGAAATCTTTCATTATATAATACTCTTTCTTACGTAAATGAATCTAACCTTTTGACATTTTGTTTCATTATACTTTGAATTTCTTAGATTATTCTTTCTCTTAAGGTTCAAGGTTTATTTTCATTATTGTGCAAAAAAACCTAACCATATCAAATATAGACTTGATGACTGTTGGAGAGTGGTTCCTTTACTGATGCTGGTGTGTGGCATCGGTGCTTGAAGCTTGGTGGTTTACAAGCTATTCTCGGGTGTGTTCTCAACGAAAAGAAGCTCCAAGAAGTTGCTACACGTTAAGGATTCAAAGTGTGGTGCTAATTGTAAAGTTGAACAGTGAGTTCTTTTTGCTATAACTTAGATCAGCTTTGAACTATATCTTGTAATGTGTTTTTAACTTAGTGGATTGCTTCGATCTGGACAAGGTCCCATGGATGTAGGCTAAAAGTGGATTTAGCCGAACTATGTATAAGATTGTGTTCTTTACTTTCTGCACTTATGTTTGTTGTGGTTAAAAACTAAAAATATCTTAATCAACTTAGTAATATTCTGCTACACGTTAAAATGAGTACTTAAACACCGAAGTGTGTTAACCAATCCCCAATAAGTGGTATCAGAGCAAGTTCTGATAGTAGATCCTTACCTATTTTACTTATTTTTGTGTGCATCTGAGTGGTCTGGTTGTTTAACGAAGTCTCATCTGTGTTGCGTTTTTATTTCAAATCTATTGTTTGTTTGTCTGTACACTTCCATTTATGTTTTAGCATCTGTCTGATTGTTTTTTTGTCATGAGTTTCTTCACTAAAGGTGAATCTACTCATAAACCTCTTCTGTTAGAAGAACTTAACTATTATACATGGAGACCTAGGATGTGTGTCTTCCTTATGTCTATAGATGAAAGAGTCTAGTCCACAGTTGTGAATGGTTGGATAGCCCCAGTTATTGTTGAAAATGAAGTGTTTAGACCAAAATCGGTCACTAGTTGGGCTGCTGATGAAATAACTCTCACTAATTATAACTCTAAAACCCTTCATGCTCTTTTTAATGCTATTAATGTGAACCAAATGAAAGTCATAGCTAATTGTGAGCTTGCTAAAGATGCTTGGGATATGCTTCAAGTCAAGAATGACAGAACTAATGTCGTTAAAAGAAATAGACTTGTCACTGATTTTGAAAATTTGAACATAGAAGAGGATGAGACTATAACTGACTTTTATGGTAGACTTTGTGATATTTATAATGAATGTTTTGCTTTGGGAAGAGCATATTCTAATGCTAAACTTGTCAGGAAAGTGTTTTGCTCTTTGCCTCAGAGGTTTATATCAAAGGTCACTACCATTGAAGAATGCCAAGATTTAGATGCTATGGACATTGATGAACTTGTTGGCTCTCTCCAAACCTATGAGCTAAATCTGCAATGATGGGAAAAACAGAAATTGAGCAAAGGTTTGGCTCTCAAACATGGATTCTGATCATTTTGATGACTGTGATTTAAGTTCCTTGGATAATGAAAATCGTGCTTTAGTTACAAAGAACTTTGCAAATTTTTTAAAGAAAAACATGAAAAAAAAACCTCATAATAGTGGTTATGGCTAAAAACCTTTTGTGAAAAGGTCTTATGACTATCAAACCCCTGATACCTTTACAAAGAAGTTTTCAAAAGATAAGAAAAAGAGAAATTAAGGTATCAAGTGTTTTGAATGTGAGGTTTTGGGCCTATACAATCTGAGTGTGCTAACACACTGAAAAAGAAGAAAGGTAAAGTCATGACTACTACCTTAAGTGAGAGTGAGCATAATGAGAGTGAAGATGGTAAGAGTGAAATTTTGGATGACACTGAAGATATCTATGCTGAGCAATAAGAAGCATATGATAAAATGTATGACCAAGTGTAAATAACCCTTGCGCAGGAGAGTCTTCAGTAATCCATGATTGCAGAAACCATTTATGCCCCGTTCGCAAGTTAATTCCAAGTTTCATCCCAAGCAAAAGCGTATCAGTCGGATAATCAATGCTTTGCTATAGCAACCGTCTTATAGATCCATTTAAATTCATCTCATGTAGGACAAGATTCCCAGATTTCAGTAGAGTAGCACTTGTATTCTCACTCCTTGAACCCAACTTATGAAAATAGGATCTCTTCCCTCTGTAAAATTTTCAGATTCCATCACTGCTATCTATTGTATGACTTCCAGATTCATCTAAGATTGGGATGTTCCTATTTTCAACCCACACAGACTCGTCCCTCCAATAGAGTATTCCTAAGTAATGTTTCTCTACATCTTTAGGGCTAAAGAATTTCAAGCTGAATTTGATCAAGGTTTTTGAGATATATTTAAAATAACTTGCATTACATACTAAACTAAGTACATAAATTCATCTGCAAAGAATTATTTGGAAATTTTATATAAGATAACTTGTTTATAAATATAGTTCTTTCTTTGTTTATGCATGGACGAAATTTCCGTTAATTTCAATCCATATATACTGGTCCTGAATCCCGATGCTACAGAAAATATTTCATGCAGTGATGTACAGTCCGACATTCAAAATTTTTGGCCTTACGATTACCAAGAATTGGCAACGTACGACAGTTATTCTAAACATGAATTCTACCTGAAACTCAAATTATATTTTTAAGGATAAAATTGATTAATCATGGCAACAAATATATGGTGAATAAAAATTCATGAAATCATCACTTATCTGCATCACCTTATTTTCTACTGGTATATTTATCTTGCCTCCATATCTGCCATTTTTTGGATATGGTGTATACTTCTCTTAGCCTTAATAGATTGTTTGTCTACGGTGACTCATACGGGGGTCCCACTGTCTAATTGTGTTTAAAATTAGTTTACTAATATTTGGGTCTGGGTCAAGTAAGATTCGAGTAAGCCGAAATGGGGTTAGGTTTCTATTAGTATTTTCTGTAATAGTAAAAAAATCTAAGGTGGGAGAACATAGAGAAGAGTGAGCTGTCAATACTGTTCATCTTTGCATTCTGCAGTTTTCTGATACTCAATAAAATCGCTATATTTGAATGTTGGATGTTGTTCCTTGAAAAAGTAAATCATTGGGTTTTGTTATTATTTTATTTTTTCTTGTAACGTGTTTGGTTTCAAATTAGACACCATTTTGTACCATCATTTGTGGAAATGAACAGCATAATTTTCTTCACTTCACATGTAAATAAACATCAATGTTGTTCTAAAGAAAAGTGTGTAAACCCATACGTGGAATTGTTGTTAAATGAGTCAAAGCAACACCATGGTGTTTATTTTGTATAGACTACAAACAGTAGTCAAGTTTTCCATGTCTCACCGATCAAGTACTCAAATCTATCAGCTTGTCAGTCAAGTTTTCCACGTATTACTGTTCAATAGAAATTAGGTGACATTAAAAAGAATTTTGTTTTTGACTTTGATAAACAACCTTCTTCATTGGAAAGAAGTAGTTGATAAATGAGCTTTAGAGCAATGTCATGAGCCCTGAGCTCATGACATTTTTCGTTGGGTATAATTAATATTGTGCTTTCAAAGTTAGACCTGCGACTGGTTTTCTCCAATTAGAGCCCCCAGCTCATGTTTGTTGAATAATTTTGGTGTTCTGTTTCCTTTTGTTTAGAAACAGAGCAAGCTTTCTGAGATGGTCATTCTAATATTGAACTCTTCTGTTAAAACTTACATACTGTAAACAGACATGTTTATATTTAATAACAGTTTTGCCAATTAATGTGGAATCTGTCACAACATTGGCAAAAATAACTTAACCTTAGATTTTTTACGCTGTTCAAAAAACAAAGCATTAGCACCATGGACAGTTATTCTAAGCAACGAGTTGAAACAAAGCATCTTATGTTATCTGGGAAAAAATAGATTCATATACAGAGCAACTGAACTGTGCTTTGTTTTTGTTACATGCATGTAGTAACAGTGTTTCAAAATATATGTATGGTTATGGCACCAAATATATGGCCAAAAAAAATCCCAGAAATCATCAATCCTGGATTATGCAAAAATAATAATAAATATTTCAATGTAATGATGCAGAGACCTACATTTCTAAGCTTTAGCTTCACTTCGGATAGGGAACAAAAATTGGTTCCACAAATCCACTCGAGAGTTATTCTAAACAGAAATCTTGCCTAAACCCGTGACCTAAATATATATCGAGGAGCAACCAAAACTTGACACATGGCAGAGTTTTTATCTTGAGTTTCATAAAGGAGACTACTGTCTATAGGTACCTCCAAATTCCACTTATGGAATGAAGCAACCAAAACCTGACACATTCTTGTAACTTGGCGTCCCCCTGGTCTTTGAAATCTACAGAGGGGAGTGCCTGAAAAGAAACTTGCAATATCAGTGCCCATAAACAATGCAGGAATTCCAAATCCTAGACCCCACCCGGCATTGTCTTGAATCCACACCAGGAAACTACTAGATATCATAGCACCTATGTTGATAGAGAAATAAAACCAGTTGAAGAAGGACCTTACTCTTTCTTTAGGATCAGTATCATCAAACTGATCTGCCCCAAAGGACGAAACACATGGTTTAATACCACCAGTACCAAGCGCAACCAGATAAAGCCCAAAGAAGAATACTTCATACTGAGCCAGAGTAGCTGAAGGACATACAGAACCCACACATTCAGCAGGTTTAAGTGCTTGATGCCGAAAGGGTCAATGTGCACATTCCCTACAACAAAACAAATTTATGTTACTAAAGACTTCATAAAATTTTGCAAAAGACATGCAGTCAAAAGAAACAGCTATAGTTAAAGCAAGATGAATTACAATAAAGTAAATTGTGGAGAAAGCAGCAATTGTCCAATGTCTTCCCCAATAAGCATCAGCTAAGATGGCTCCAATAAGAAGTGTAAGATAGCAAGTGCCTTGCCAGGTGGTAACATTTCTTGCAGCAGCAACATTTCCTTCGTGTAGTTTGTTGGTAAGATAAGAAACAAGATTGGTCGCAATTCCATAGTAGGCCAAACGTTCACAACATTAAGTACCTGTATTTTAGATTAAGAACGTCAGAAATAGAAATATTCAAGAAAAAGTGCCATAAAGAAAAATGATAAATCACCCAGTATGAAAGGGCATCCTCTCCAATTTCCAGTATTCTGCTTCAAAACAGGTTTTCCATTAATGTCTACGGAGCCATCTCCTGTGTACAATTGACTGCTCTCATTCTAAAGATAGGCAAAAGAAGCCAAGAGTAAGATAGATAAAACAATACAAGGCATACTCCAACGAAAATATAAGAATAATTAGTTGCTTTTAATTTTTATCCATGGATTTTCACAAACGTTAAGAATAGAGATTTAACAACTTATCTTTGGCTTTTTAGTATCTTCCAACCAAGATTGTAAAAAATATTTAATTACCCAAGAGAAAATCAGTCATCCCCTAACATAAACACATGGAGACTGGTCCAACAATCTGGAGTGCACAATTCTATGTACCATTAAATATTAAAGGAAGAGGACATATTACACATAAAAATGCCAGCAAAAGAAAATATAGAATTGGTAGAATACACAAAAAGAATAAGATAACACAACTTATGCACACATATAATAGAGCACTTCAATCTGAATATTACATCAATAAATTTCAAATTCAACCTGATTGGAATCACTTGGATTCTCATGGCAGCCCATTAAGATGACACAGACCCACCCTATAGCATTCAATCACTACAACCTGACACTGCTCTAGGTACACAAAGTGTAGAAAATTTACTTTTGGATACAGCAAGCCAATTTGGGCCCAAGGAATTCAACTCAGCAAACAATGATGAGATGCTGAATCACTCCATAAAATTCGTATACGCTTAGGAACTTATGCCTAAGAATTTTAAAAGAACAAAAGAATGATAACAGAAGAAAAACCATGATGGTGCTATCACAATATATTGATATTGGGAGTATAATGTATGATTAATTCAAGTAATTAATTCAAGTAATGATTCTGATTCCCTAAGAACAGAAGCCGTACAATGAAAACATAATTTACTATGCATCCCCAAAATCAAAAAATTAAGAAGTTTACACATTCACATATGATCCGATTATGCGAAGACCATATTCAACCATTCGAAAGCAAACCTATTACTAAATTTAGTAAGTGGAATTTGGAGGTACCCATAGACAGTAGTCTCCTTTATAGAGTTATTCAAAGTAATGATGCAGAGACCTACATGAATGCATCTTAGTACTTTCATTAGTAAAGCTTGATCCATTCTCAAGTCCTGTGTCCATGAGCTCTAAGCCTTTTCCTTCATTCCACAGCAGCCATGCCTGAAAGGTGTGATAAAGGATAGATTTCGTATAATATCCCTCAAAGAGCTTCAATAAATGGCCATTGACCTCTAAAATATGAAAATAAGATTTGACTGATTATACTTACATATCCTATGAGATTGAGTAGGCGCTCAGTATGATAGCAACCATTACTCTTCTTGCCACTTACAATTTCCAGTACTAAGACTCCAAAGCTGAAGACATCAATTTTGATTGAGACAATGCCATTCATGGCATACTCTGGAGACATATAGCCGCTGAAAAATAAATGAATAATTCTTTTAGGGTTTGAAAATGAAAATGTTTTCATATGAAAATGGATAAAGCAACTGCATATATATGTTTGATTGTAAATGTAATAGGTACTTACTATGTTCCAACAACTCTATTTGTGTTTGCTTTCTGTTCATTAAATCTAAAAATTTTAGCCATTCCAAAATTAGATATTTTTGGTATTGGAGATAATACACCACATTCAAATAAAGGGAACGTGTCCATTATTGAAGAAGGATGATTTCATTCTTATGATTATTCTTTTCTGTTATTTAATTTGGTTTGCTGAGTTGTACTTTCTGTTTTCTGCATTTCTGTTTATTGAGTTGTACAGAGGGACAATAATGTATTCTCCCCTTTATAGGTTGTTAGAAGATTCATTTGTAATAGTATATAGACAGCTGTGTATAGTTAATTAAAATCAGATCAGAGAACTTTTTTTTCTCTCTATCTTCCTGGACTATTCTTCTCTGTTCTTCATTTTGTTACATGGTATCAGAGCTCCCCTCAATCCAAAACCCTCACCATGTCTAGCTCTAAAAATACTAATCCTAAAACACATCCTCCCAAAAACCTTAATGAAAGGTTTCTCAAATTTTCAGATCATTTCAACCCCTTTCGCATCGACAATGGTGACAATCCCGCTACTGCCTTAGTTTTTTATCTCTTGACTGCTGACAATTATGTCAGTTGGTCTCGAGCTGTTAGCCGTGCTCTTCGAGCAAAGAACAAGCTTGGTTTCATCAATGGGACCCTTTCCAAACCACATGATGCCAATGGTCCAATTTTTGAAGCATGGGAATGTTGCAACGATTTAGTTGTCTCCTGGCTTCAAAATTCTGTAAGCTCTTCTGTTAAAACTAGTCTTGCTTTGGTTGATGATTCTCGCACTCTCTGGCTTGAACTTCAAGACTGTTTTACTCAACAAAAATGGTTCTCACATTTTTCAACTCAAACAGGGTCTTGCTAACCTATCTCAAGGTCAGGATTCCATTACACTTATTTTGGTCGCTTAAAAGTTTTATGGGATGAATTGGCTATCTATGACCCCATACCTATGTGTGATTGTGGCAAGCTGAAAATCTTAAATGATCGATATGATCGTGATTATGTCATACAGTTTCTAATGGGTTTATCTGATTCTTATTCCCCTTCAAGAGATCAGATTATGCTTCTTGATCCCCTTCCCCCCCTTAATCGAGTTTTTTCCATGATTCAACAGCAAGAACGACAACATCTCATGCTTACCCAAACCTCTAATCCTAATCTCATGGCCATGATGGCTAAAACCAACTCCCTTTTTCCCAAACCTACCCAGAAATTTCATAACTCTATAGCCCATAAATCAAATTGTCCATATTGCACTCGTTGCAAAATCCAAGGTCACTTTCTTAAGAATTGCTTCAAAGCAGGAAATGCAACCCCACCTTCGTGTACCTATTGCAATATGACTGGCCATTCTGTTGAAAATGTTACAAATTAAATGGGCACCCCTCTGGCCATAAGCTTCATGGCAAGAATAAAAACTTTGCTGCAGTTGCTATTGCTCCTTCTCGAGCATGCTCTATTGATGGTCATGATGAAGACTCCTTTAAGACTATGGCTCTTACCAAGGGTCAATATAATCAACTCCTGGCTTTGTTACACTCTAAGGACACCAGTTCAGCCATGGCCACCATGTCTGTTACTCCGCCTTCCTCATCCTCTAAGCATGTCCCCTGCTCTAACGTCTCTGGTATGGTTTCTTGTTTATCAACTCAAACACACACGACTCCCTGAATAATAGACACTGGAGCAACATATCACATGATCTATTGTCCCTCTCTCTATTCATCCATCACGGCCACTATATCTTCTTTAGTTAAATTACCTAATGGTGTAGATGTCCCTGTTTCTCACATTGGTGTTGTGCACTTATCTGAGAATTTAGTCCTTCAAAATGTGCTTTGTGTCCCTTCTTTCAATAAAAAGCTTGCTCTCCATTTTCTTGCTGCCTTATTTTCTTTTCTCATTCATGTTTTGTACTAGACTTAGCATCTTGGACAACGATTAGAATGGGTGAAGCGAGGCATGGTCTGTATCACCTGCTGCGTTGGTGTGTCACCCTCAGCTTTAGTTGATGTTTTACTAGCTTTTCTTCATAAAGACCAACTTCTTAGTGCCTCTATTACACACAAGGATTCCTCTTCTGATTTGTGGCATTATAGACTTGGGCACATTTCATTCTCTAGGCTTCTTTTAATTGATGATTCTCTTGTAAAACAGAACCTGAGTTCTTCTAATACATCTCCCTGCTGTGTTTGCCCTTTGGCCAAGCAGCATCGACTTTCTTTTCCCATTTCCACAAATAAATCTATTAACGCTTTTGATCTTGTTCACTGTGACATTTGGGGGCCCCACCCTACAATTGCAATTGATGGTTCTCGATTTTTCCTTACTCTTGTTGATGATTTCTCGAGGACCACCTAGGTCTATATGGTCAAACATAAATCTGATATGAGATCTTGTATTGAAAGTTTTTACTCCTTAATTGAAACTCAATTTTAGACTAAAATTAAAATGTTCATAAGTGATAATAGCAAGGAATTCCTTATGACATATTTTTTTAAATCTAAGGATATTATCCACCAAACTAGTTGTGTTGAAACACCCAAACAAAATGGGATATTTGAGCAAAAACATCAACACATAATGAATGTGGCTCGAGCCTTAAGATTCCAGTCCAATATTCCCCTTATATTGGAGTGATTGCATACTAACTGCTATTTACATTATAAATAGAACACCCACACCATTACTTGATAATAAAACTCCTTTTGAAAGTCCTTTTCATAAGCCATCCATTTACCATCACATGAGAGTTTTTGGATGTCTTACTTTTGCTTCAACCTTATCCCATGGAAGAAAGAAGTTTGATCTGAGAGGTCGGAAAAGTGTATTTCTGGGCTAACCTTTTGCAGTGAAAGGCTACAAATTATTAGATTTACAAACTAAACAAATTTTTATTTCTCGGGATGTTGTGTTTCATGAAAGAGTTTTTCCATTCAATACAAGCATCTCACTTCCTGCTCCATCTCCTATTCCTTCTATTCCTCTCATCACACCAACACCTTTTAATTTTTGTCCACCGCACTCAGCTTTACCCCCTCCTGCTTCTCTGCATTCTAGTACCTTTCAATCTCCTTCACCACCTAATTTTCCTCCTGAGATTACTCAGCCTATCTCTCCCTCTCATTCTCCATTTTCCTCACCATCCTACTAATCTTCCACTCCTACCCCACCACCACTCCCTCCTCCTCTCCCTCGCAAGTCCATTAGAACTAAGCATGCACCCAAATTTCTGCAGGATTATCATTGTTAATAGAAGGCTCTCACTTCTTCCAACAAATTGTTGCCTCAGCAGCTACGTCCTATACAAGGTACTCCTTTCTCACTTGCTAATTGCTTATCTTATCATGTTTTTTCTCCTTCTTACCAAGCTTTCTCCACTACCATTTCCACCCATTTTGAACCACAAACATACCGCCAAGCTCTCAAACATCTAGGCTGGTGTCAAGCCGTGGTTAAAGAACTGGTTGCCTTAGAAGCCAACAACACTTGGCAACTTACAGATTTGCCTCCAGGAAAAGTGCCCATCGATTGTAAATATGTTTACAAAATCAAGTACCATTCCAATGGGTCTGTTGAGAGGTTGAAGGCCTGCTTGGTAGCCAAGGGCTACACACAACCTGAAGGGGTGGATTATCATGAGACATTCTCTCCTGTTGCCAAGTTGGTAACTGTGAGATGCCTCTTAGCAATTGCTTCCATTAAGGGTTGGCATTTACATCAATTTGATATAAATAATGCCTTTTTACATGGGGATTTACATGAGGATATTTACATGAAGAAACCTCCTGGTTATACCAAAGGGACACCCACTCAAGTCTACAAACTATTAAAGAGTTTATATGGCCTCAAGCAAGCATCAAGGCAATGGTACTCTAAATTTTCTCAATCGCTACTTGAATCTGGTTTTTCACAATCAAAGGCTGATTATAGCCTCTTCACAAAGGAAAATAATAGTTCTTTCACAACTTTATTAGTGTATGTCGATGACATACTTGTGGCCAGCAATGACGTTAATTATGACAGCCAGTTGAAACTCTTTCTTGACAGCAAATTTTAGATAAAGGACCTCGGCTCTTTGAGGTATTTTCTTGGCATTGAGATTGCCCGCTTCTCTAAAGGTATCTTTTTATGTCAAAGAAAGTACACTTTGGACATTTTAGCTGATTCTGGAAATTTAGGCAGCAAACCTACTAAGGTTCCCATGGAACAAAACCTCAAGTTAACCCAATCTTGTGGCCAACCTCTATCAGACCCAAGTGTGTATAGAAGATTGATTGGTCATCTTCTTTATCTTACAATTACTCAACCTAACATCTATTACAGTGTGCAAACTTTGAGTCAATTTATGGCTGCCCCCACTTATATTCATCTCTCTGCTGCTCAGAAAATTCTTAAGTATCTCAAAGCTGCACCAGGACAGGGGTTACTTTTACCTAACTCCTCCTTACTTTAGCTCACCGCTTTTTGTGACTCGAATAGGGCCTTTTGTCCCGATACTAGACACTCAGTCACTAGGTATTGCTTCTTCCTTAGTTCATCATTGAATTCATGGAAATCAAAGAAACAGCCCATTGTTTCTCAATCCTCAACCAAGGTTGAGTATCAATCGATGGTAGCTACATGTTGTGAGCTTACCTGGCTACGATTACTACTTTCTGCTTTCCATGTTTCTCACCCTCAAGCCGTTGCCTTGCACTGTGATAACCAAGCTGCCATCCATATTGCTGCCAACCCCATCTTCCATGAGAGGACTGTAACGCCCCACTTGAGGTATGTAGTTATTGTTTCTTCTTTTGCTCTTATTTTAGTTGGTTTCTTGGTAATATTGTTTGGTTGACCTTTGATTGAATGTTATGTCGAGTACTTGCCCTGAATTTGGTGGAAAATAGAAGAAGTTTAGTGTTTCAGTCTTCGCCGGGGCGAAGACGAA